GTGACTGTGTCCTGGCTGTGGTTCAGAAATGTGAACCTCATGAGAACGCTCAAGTTCGCCGTTTTCAGGATTTTTCTGCTGAAATTCAGAAGAGATCGTTTGTGGATGGACAGAGGGGACTATAACACAGTACTCTTACAAAAAGAAAAAATGTGGATTTATAAATTTAACACTATGGTACTACACGGTTTAAATACCGAATGTAATTTACAAGTGTTTCTTTAGGTACGCCTCCTAATTCGCAGTTGTCCCCTTAATAAACATTTGTTTGTGTTAGGTGAATAGATCCAGTGCTCATATGTATTTACTCTAGTTTAATTTTGTAATTTTGTTACCTTCACAAATGTTTTCATATTCAATAATTGTTAGGAATGAATGAGCTGTTTCACTTTAAGCACTCTGGAGCAACAGGGGCTAAACAATTCGCAATAATTACTACCTATATAAAGACCCTTGTTCTTGACTCGTTCTGACGAAGCCCCGGAAAAGAGGCAGGGCGAAACGCATCACGTTAAGCAAATGACAGACAGCTGACCATATACCTGCTTGTCAGGCTACGATGCCAGATGAAGGAGCCGCAATACAAAACAAAATTTGAAATTTAAGGACCAACTGGCTAACTAACTAAAACAAAAAAAAAACAAAAAAGGGAGCATTCAGGTTGTCTAAATGGCATGTCAATCCTAGGATTACAGGGAAAGCTGCAGCATGGACAAAAAAAAAAAAAAGACTGTTATTGACGGTTCCAGCCGTAAATCTGAGACTCTTAATCGTGAGTACCCTCCCACTCTGTCTTGGACTCCACTCTGAGCTATACTTCCTTGAATATAAAATTTGCCCACTGAATGCTATGCGATTATTTCACTATACAGGATTTCTATTTAAAGTTATTCTCTGAGTTTGGAATAGTACTGGACTGTGAAGGTGCAACTGGACTATCTAGTGAACTTTGAATTCTCTGACACATCTACCACCTGTTTGGCTATATAACAAGGTCTATCCTGCACCCGTGAGAATATATTAAGTGGAGGTTGTCCAGAGTTCCGGTTTATTTTTCCACACCTTCCGGTCTCCTAAGTGAGGGAGCCCTTCAACAATTTTCACACTTGGAGAGGCAGATTTGGAGAAATAGATAATTTCCTGTATGTGGAGACACACAAGTGAAAGTATATCCACGTAATCTTCGATCATTTTCTGCACCTTCCAGTATCTTGAGAGAGGATCTTTCAACACCTTATATAAATGGAGAAGTACAGTAGATCTAATCTAATTTCACACATTTAGCAATTTTGTGTGTTGATCATATTGCCACAAATACATCCTGACTCAAAAATCTTGCTCCGTTTCAAAAATAATACATTGTGCACTTTAATTGGCAACTAATTGGATACCTTTTTTTCTTTTGAGATCCACTGGCAAACAAAATAATTGTATCAGCTTGTTCGTATGAATGATTGATGAGTGAAAGTGAAACAACGTTGTCCACATTGTTGTTTTTAGCATCACCAATAAGTGGGTACGCTGTGTTTTCTTTCATGTGCAAAACGTAATAAAGTTTTTTTTACTGAATATAGTGGCGACTCCGACCCTTTATGACTACTGTGGTTTAACTCCCTTTTATATTACACCGGGCTCTCTTTAGGACAACATTACTTACCTGGGCATCCAAACAACTAAAACCATTTGGGACTTTTACTGGCTGAACCTCCTCCCTCTGCTCTCAATGCTTAAATTTCGCTTGGAATCGTGGAAACATCTTTCACTATCCATCCTTGGTAAAGTTAACCTTATCAAAATGAACATTTTGCCAGTGTTTTTGTACTTCCTTAGGAAATGAGGGTTCCTCAACTCTGTTTTTACAAGGATAATTAATTAGCACCTTTTTGTGGAAATCAGAGGTTCCTAGACTTAAGCTTAGTGTTTTACAGGAGCCTTGGACCTGGGGGGTTGGCCCTTCCAGATTTAAAAAAATATTACCTGGCTGGCCAGATTGTGGTGATACATCGATGGTTAACTAGGAATGATAGTGACACTGTTGTGGTGGTTGAGGCTGCCTCTTTGGGTTCCTACAAAGCTTTTTAGGGGATTGAAGGCTCCTTACCGGCTTACTGAGTCACAGAAGGCTACCATTCTGGCATGGTCCTCTATCTGTAAGATTTTTATATCCAGATGGGATGTTTTAGTCCCCCCCCCATACTGCCCTCTGAATGAACCCACATTTGGCTCACTTTCTTACCATACCTGATCATATCTGGCAAAGTAATGGTATCAACTAATAGTAAGGGATTTCAACTAATTTCCTTATACATTTTGATCGATTGATCAAGCGAAGTATAATCTCCCTAATTTTTACTTGTTTCGCTATCTACAGGTCAGACATGCCTTTCCGTGGCAATTCGAGGGCAATGTTTGTTCCTTGTTGATGTCACCTTTAGAAAAATTTACTTAGGAGTGAATGTTTACGGAAACCGTTATCCGATTATCATGCCCCATTTCGTGCATCTTCTTTGTGTAAAGGTAAATGGCTTATGTAAGTCCATACGCTTTCTGATGAAGATTGGGAGGATGCTTGGGATTACCCTTTTACTCATTTGGTCGCTACCAGACATACAATTAAATGAGTATGTCTTCATGTTGTAAGCAGTATTTTATTGTTTGCAACTAAGTGTGTGGGTGTGAATTGGGGATTTGGGGAAATATCAGGGGTCTAATGTTTCCAATTTAATTTAGAGAAAGATTGAGGGCACATAGTCCTACTTTGCTGTTCAGCAGTCCTACTTTGCTTTTCAGCACTTGCTACTAAACACTTCAATGTTCATTCACAAACTGAAGGGATAGTAGGCATGAAGTCCATGTTTACTGATCCTTCCAGTATTGAGCAGTATATTCAGTAAAGTGAAGGGATTGGTAAACATGAGACATGTTTACCAATCCCCTGCTCGCCATCCTGAATAGATCCACTCCTTTCCCGTCTGCCCCCAATACAATTCCCTCTGCAGTGAGCAAACCTGTACAGGAAGCGGGGAGATCAGAGGGCACACAGGACATTGGATACACAGAGACTGTTCTGAGCAGTAATCAGTATATGAGTGGCAATTGAAAGGGTTAAAGTGTATGTAAGAGAATAATAATGAGACATGTTTACCAATCCCCTGAATTGTTCAAGAAACTTTTGGACGATTTCTTAAGGGACTGAAATATACAGGGGTACTCCTAGAATGACATCCTAATAGGTTGGACTTGATGGACTAATGTCTTTATTCAACCTCAAATACTATGTAACTATGTAATAATAATTATTATTATTAAATAAGTCATTCAGTACATCTTCCGTCAAAAATACAGTGTGCCCTTGCTGCTTAGACCAGTGTTTCCAGCCCTTCCTGCTGAATACAGAACCGCACCTTTCCCACCCTCTTCTGGACCATTCCACATACTTACAATAATTTCCTCCCCAGCAAAACAATTTGTCTGCTGTGACACCCAAGGGTCTGCCCACACAGTGTGAGAAGTGAAAGGGCTCTTGGGAGATATAGTTCTGGGGGCCTGTGCCTGCAAACCTCTCTTTGGGGAACCATGGTTGGGGTTTGCTGAAAATTGGGGCCAAAGTGAGAGGAAGAGTGACATGGATATAAATTGAAATGCTAGATCCTCTGCTATAGTCAGCATCCACTTAATTCTCCCTCTTTCATGCAGCAAATCTCACTATTCTAGCCCAGAGGGTTCCCATTTTCCTCATTACTCAGCTTTTTAACACTGCTAAAATGAATTTGCATTCTTTTTCCAGCTTCAGGGTACACCTTCTGATGGGTTTGACGGATCAGGGTTCCCCCAAGACAGCCTTAACCATAATTCAACAATCACATTTTCTTACATCAGATCATCTGAATAAATAAAATCTATATCAAAAACATATGAAAACCAAAATACCGTGTTCATTCAGAAAATACAAATTATTTTTGAAAGCAGTTTTTTTAGTTTAACATTTTGTAAATAGAGGCAAAACACAAATCAGTGAATGAAGCCTGAGCAACAATTAAATAAATACAGACACATGGACATTATGACCTAGTCAATAACATCTCACTTAAAATTAATTTCCAGCAATGGTGGATTGTTTAAGAAAAATAATGAGCATGGTACAGCAGCAAAAATCAGCAAAGGATCAAAGAAATCTAGCCGTCATCTTTGCACTGTAATTGTTTGTTGATGAATTGATCAACCAACCTGTAATCTACAGCACAGAGACAATGGCTAATCTGACCTTAAAGGAGAACTATGGGGTTAAGGCTTTTCCCCATAGTTCTCCTTAGGGTAACAGGAGGACACAAACTAGCGCCCTCCCGTCACGCTAAGCTCAGTATACCACGAGCTACAGCTCGCGGTATACTGAGACGCCGCAGCTGAAGCGGATCCCGACAATTATGTCTGGATCCGCCCAGCTGCGTGAGTGACAGCTGGTTCGGCCTATATAGGAGGCAGAGCCAGCTGTACCCGCCCCCTCCCGATCCGCCAGTCAGCAACTGGCGGATCAGAGCATCCAGCCCCTCCCCTGTCACGGCAGAGGGCTGTGACAGGATCGAGAGGTGAGCGAATGCCGGTATGTGTTCGCTCACCTCCTGATCTACTGAGCCGACCTGTGACAGTCTCATTGTCACAGGTCGGCTAGAACTATGAGGTGAGTGAAAAACACTCCTCATAGTTCTCATGTAAAAGCACTTTTCTTTCCTCATATAGCATTTGTTATTATTTTATTAGTTATTGAGTAAAACAAGGCAAATGTCTCTGTTACATATCAATTCATCCAAGATGAAATACTGTCTTTAGAAATGGATTTAAGATGCTTCTCATTTCCTCCAGGTAGGCTGCAGAGTTAAAAGTGGCCAGAGGCACAAATTACCACAAAGAACCAAGATTAAAGTGTAAATGTGTCATCACAATTTTCTGGCACTCAGGACAAATGTCTTTGCCTCAATGATCTTCAACAGTCCGTTTTTGTTTTACAGAACTTCTAGAGAGATGAAACTTGCTCTTTGGTGGTCAGTAGGCCCTTTTCAAATAACATAGTGATCAAGGCAACCTGCACAATGAGAATACAATGTAACAAGTTAGGCAGTTATAGAGTATTAATAATTCAAAAATAAAAACAAGCAACTCTGCCCAAAATAATTTTTACTCTTAAGAGAGTGAGGAAGAGCTTTTCTGCTGGACTCACTGCATAACACAAGCAGGTCAGGGCGAGGCGATGCATTTGACAGTAGACAGAACTAAGAGTAAAAATGAGCCCTGTCCTATTCCACCCAAACGAGAAATCCATTTCTGGTAAGACTGTCTAAATTAGGCTTTCCAAGAGTTTAAGACTTAATATTTTTGCAGTACTAGATGAAATATAAAAACCTGCCTAAAGCTGCCCTTTTAGAGTGGCAATGCAAGATTCAAAGAGGATACCAAGTACAGCAACATTTAGTTGCTTATTGTTTGTTTTACTTGTCAGCTATTTCATGTCAGTAGAGGATAGAGGGTGGTTGGACTGCAGTATACTTTTGGTAGACTAGAAGAGTTTCACGGCATAAGCAGTATATAATTTGCACAAATGTGTGACTAAGATTTTTAAGTGGGTGTTGCAGAGTAACACTCACTTACAGCTGAAGGAGTGTAACAGCTTTTCTGAGTTGTACAGGATAGGAGAGGAACTGTGTTGTGAAATCATTTTATTTCAAATAATAATGCAGACACTAACATCTGTTTTAAAAATTGTAGAGTATACCTCTAGAGTATTTGAACAATGTGACATATTTGCCATGAATTCAGCACAGTGGGTTAGTGGTTAGCACTCCTGCCCAAAAACATTAGGGTGCTCAGTGCAGATCCCAACCAGGACACTATCTGCATTGAGTTTGCATGGGTTTACCTCCCACACTCCAAAGGCCCTGGTATGTGTATGAATCCATGTGAGGTAGGGACCTCAGACTGACGCGAATGTACAATATATGTAAAGTGCTGTGTAAATTGGCACAATATAAAAATACATGTAAAATTAATTCTCGTTTTCTAAATTATATGTCCTAGGAGAAATATAAAAACACTGCCTACCTTGTCATCAGTTGTTTCGCAGGGAAGGTCGTCAACATTCACGTAACTTGGGTAGGAATGCAGAAGAAAATCTATGGCATCCACATGCTTAAAATCAGAATGGGAGAGGAAGAATGAGCAGTTTATTAAATACAGATAAAAAAACCTGTAGTGAACCCAGAAATAACTCAGAACTATTCCCCTCACCCTAATCCCACACATAAAGCTAAATCATTCCAGAATGAATTTGTAATTGCAGGTAGAAAAATTCACAGACTGCTTTCTCTTTAAGTACAAAGTATATTCATTCAACAGCAGTGTAGTGTCCAGTAAAACTTCTCCACATTTGGTATAAACATTTTAATTGTTTGAAATTATAGCTTGTTAGCTCATCTGTATTAAACCATAAGAGATTGGGAATTACTAGTATTTCAAGCAAAACTATTAGCACACTTGTCAGATTAGCATTTTTTGTTTTAGTAGTAGTAGGTGCAATTTACTAAAGTAGCACACTTTTCATTCACTGAATATACACTTTCCAAGTGAACATAAGTTCCTGCTCCTGTAATCAACAAGCAAATGCGTGTGTTTTGACCAAAGGGTGCTATTGCTAAAGTGGATGCCTAGGATCTGGCTAAAAAGGGGTAAAAACTGGTTTCACAGAATTACAAAAATCTTTTGACAGAACAATGTGTATTTTTTTTATCTGGTTGCCTGAAGTTCAGCTTTAAAGTAATAAAGTCAAAATGATTTTAAATTATTTCAAATGCTGATTAAATCACTAACAATGGATGCTTCTTGATGTTTAAAAGTTTTAGTTTCCTGCAGAACCAGCTGGTCCCCTGAGCACTGGACCTGACTACCTGTTTAGAGTGACTCCTTTCTCAAGCAGAGTACTATGCACAGGGGTGTGGACATTTAAAAAAAAAAAAACTACTTGTCCAAGGGCTAAAGCGGAGGCCAAATCCAATTGTCCTTCATGACAATCTACTTGTCCTGATACAAAAAAAAATAGAGATGCACCAATACCGGTTTTTCAGTATCGAGTACCGATATTTTGCTTTCGGATCTCACAGACACTGAATACTAATACCGGTGCTTCCACTGACATAGAGCAGGCTTCCCTGGTAATCAGGAAGCCGGGCAGCAGATAATGACATCCCGCCCGGTTTCCTGATTGCCACGGAAGCCTGCTCCATGTTGTTTGGCCTGCTTGATTGTGATTGGCCGGGAAATCTGCTGCCTGGCCAATCAGGAAGCCGGGCGGCAAGTAATGACCCGATTGACCGGGAAGCTGGTTCGCTGCCGATTAGCCAGGAAGCCGGCTTTCCAGCCAATCAAAGAGCCGGCTTCCCGGCCAATCAGAATACCAGGAGGCAGTTCATTACTTACGTCACGGCTTCCTGATTGCACTGGAAGCTGGCTTCATGTTCCCCTCCAACACTACCAGTCAGAGGAAATTTTCATCTCAACGTAAGTTCCAATATCATGGAAGGTATCGGGGCATTTGGGTGAGTACGAGTACTCGCCCAAATACTTGGTATCGCAATGATACTAGTATCGGTGCATCCCTAATCAAAACATATTTGACTGTGCTAAATAGCACTTCTCACTGGTCAGCGCAGTCATCTGACCACGTTGACCAATGAGTGCTTGCAATTTACGAGCGAAATTCAAAATGCATAGGGGAGGACTGCGCTGGACAGCAGTACGGGGGACAGATAGTACACCCATACTGGCGGAGGGGAGGGATTGTTCGCCGAAAGGTAAGTATAGCCAGGGGCATGGAGGTTTGAGAGAGACAGGGCCAGATTTCATCGGGTAATTTTATTTTTCCATATTACCTGGGAAAATGAACTTACCCTTTAATGCACATTTTGTGTGTGTGTGTGTGTGTGTGTGTGTGTGTGTAAGAGAATTCTGTTGCCTGGCTACCACTATGGAATGGCGGCGGCAATCTCAAAGCACATGCATTATGCCCTACGCATGCGTTTTTTTGCATGCAGATTGCGGGGGTAGCGGGATTGATTTTCATTTTTTTTTTACTTTATTTTTTTAATTTATTTTCTTTTTCCACTTAATGTTATTCCTATCACATAGGGGATTAAATTCCCCCTGTGATAGTTTGGAGGTGACAGGTTCTCTTTATGGAACCTGCCCTCCAACACAGAACAGATGTTCTGTGCAGATCCTGACAGCCGAGACAGTTCTTCGTCTGCTCTACGGCTGAGCCGTTGTGCCGTAGTTTTCGGGGTCCCCCAGGAGAGCGCTGGGACCCCGAAAACCACGGCAGGGGGTGCGGGCAGACACAATCGCCGCTGCTCAATTTGATACAAGTGATCTAATTAGATCACTTGTACTAAATGAGTGGTGGCTCCACAATGTACATTCAGCTCTGCTTGCCCAGAGCCGGGCTAAATGTACATAAAAACTACTCGCCCGGCGCCCGAAACTGCATGTCCTGGGCGTCGGGCGATAGGAATTCCACACCCCAGATGCAGTCACCCTTGTCTGTCTCCACAAACACAGCAAATCAAGCTACTTCCCTCCCCCTGGCCCCCCTTCTCCTCCTCCCTCCAAGCTAGTAGATAAACAGTTGCTGGAGTCTGCTCTGCCCCTTGTGATCTTGTACTGGAAAGCTGAGCTGCGAGACTTGGAAGCAGCTGTTCAGAAACATAACTAAGTATTTGGGCACTAAAAGTAAAGCAATGCTTTGCTGGGCAATATAAAACACAGCTTTTTAGTAATAATTTACTCACCCATGGCTTTAACAAAGCAATGATCTAGCTCTTCTGGCTAATTTACAAATTTGTATATTGAACAAAAGAAAGGAAATATGGTACATAATTTCAAAAGTGCTTCAATGTACAACGATAAACCCCCCACTAAACTCAGTATTGAAATAGTGAACTGCTAAGCAAAGTGATCCGCTTGTTGTAGTAGCACATGTGGAGGAATTATCAGTCGATGATTTACATCAAACAAGTACTTAGTTATACTGCGTTACCTCAGCATCTATTTCAATGAACTTTGACGCCTCCTGATGATATATCCGTGAATTGTCAGTTGAATAATACAACAGGCAAGATTCTCCTTCACTACACAACCTGCAGAAGAAAAATAATTGTCCAACATTCTGCAGTGCTTTACAGTTGTATGAAAACACAGGACAAGCGCACAAAGCATCAACAAATACAAAAAACAAGCAACTAGATGGATTCACAAGTTAAAACTTAATGAGAAATATACCTGAATAACATTATTGACCTCTCTCAAGGGACCTTTGTGTACTCTTATACTGGCAACTCTCCCTGGGTTGAACGGAGTAATTATACATCACTGGTAACAATGATCATTATAAAAGCAAATACTGTTCATATTTCATCGGTCTAATATCACTACCACCAAAAGGAAGGTTGAGAGTTTTACTAGCCTTAAAGTGCCTCATTTATGAAAGAAGACTAGCCCCGTTAAACCAGTGTTTATTCAGTAAGAAAAATGTTTATTTTTGGACAAAAATTCATATCTGTCGTTTTTTTTCTCCACAACTAACCCTGTAGATCTAAAAATAAAAAGGTACCATTTAACCTAGAAAAAAAAAGAAAAAGACACTGCTCTAACTTTATGTAGCACCCTTTTCTCTTCACAGGAGATATTGAAATCATCACAGTGCTATAAAACTGACCTACTTTAGTCAGAACTCCAATATGTCAGAAATATTATCATCCTAGATTGAATACGCCAAGTGACACTTGCTTCTATCTTCACACTATGGCAGTGAGACTTTCCCCCCACCTCTAAGACTGCAAGGCTATCTTACACATACTTCAACATTAGAACAACAGGTAATAATTGGAGAGGAAATGAGATAGCAGAGGGGTGTCAACACTTCACAGGGCAAACTGGACTAAGGAGGCTGAAGAGGTGTTGGTGGAGTGAGATTGTTGTTCCTGTGGTTACCCTATGCATTATCTGATCAAAAAAACTACAGAAAAAAATAATTCTGTAAAAATAAATATGTCATACCTTTTGTTACAGGCTAAAGCACAATACTGTTTTACATTATTATACAAGGCCTGGTGAATGCAAATTAGCTTCACAGATTTTCTACTACTGCCTGTAGATCTCTTTAAGGACAGCTATGATGCATGTTGTTTATGTTACCATATATTAAGTAAAAGCCTTTTTTAACTGTACAGCACATAAAATGTTTGTTTCTCCAGCAACTGTATTCTGAGTTTAAAGGTTTCTTACATAAATTTGTCTGCAAGTCCCTGTCCTTGATTAGACCTCGGTTTCCATAGTGGTGTGTGTTCTAATGCTAGCAGCCATGAGCAGGACTAACCTTGCAATATTGCCTCTCAGAAATCTTATCTGCGAGTCCTTTTCTAGCTGCACTTCGCAGTCTTTTACACCTCCGTTCTCCCATCTTGCTGGGGCGCCAAGTACACTGCAAGCTTTCTCAGCTGAAAGAAAAACAAAAAAGTGAACAGATGAAGTCCCACTCATGTAAGTATTTATCTTGCTATGATACATTTACTGTAGGACTGTTTCAACTCTATAGGCTCCTCAGCAACTACTTTCCCTGTCCTGGGGTTGCAGCTTACATTACAGTGATTTCAAACAATGTCAGAATGGTCATATGGCAATAAATATGCTGAAACCCAAATTAAAGAGCAATTCCAACCTATTTTTGTTTCTTGTGTTCTTTCTCTTTACTGCTGCATTATGCATCGTCTGATCACTCCAGTGTTTGTAACTAGGGACACATACGGTAGTCTGAATGAACAGGATGTGATATACATCACTTCCTGTTCATTCATGATTTTCTGAATGGGGAGTAGCACCCCATAGCAGTTTCTGAATGAAGCCTCTCTACTGAGTGCTTCCTATTCATTTAGTGCTGGGGCTGCAGAAAAATATATTGAGGGCTCTGTGTCCTCAATTTCTTTTTCAAAAGGGAAATATCCGGGGTCTGTTTAGACCCCTAATATTTCCCCGAAGCCCCCAACAGTAAGAAATTATAAAAAAAATGTAAAAAACAAACAAACCCCCCCCCCCCACACACATAACATACATGTATAAAAATAATAAAAATGCTCCCCCCACACAATAAAAAAAAAAAAATATACAGATAAATAAAACATTTGTAAAAAAAAAACAAAACTAATAGAACAAAAAACCACAACCCCTCCACATAAAATACACGTGCACCATATTGTGGTGCATGCCATGCGCTGCAGTGCGAACATGTTAGAACATTAGTTTTTTAAAAAAAAACATTATTTTAACTGTGGCAGCGCATGGCAAAGCTTTGTGACACATTGCTGTGCGTTGCGATACCTTGCGTTGCAATTAAATATACGCCTGTATCATTTTATCACAACACAAACACAGCACAAAAACAATTGACATAAATCGCTTATTTACAATTTTGCGTTCCTTCATTTTACCTTTTCGCAAAAAGGCCCAATTTCAACATATTTGTTATTTATTAACTCAATACAGTTTTATCTTTTAGATCTAGTCAGAAAATATATTTTTTTTCTGTACCGATACTGATTTTAGGGCTTTATCAATTGAATTGTGTATTTTTATCGGTTTATTATTAATTTGAGAAACATTTGCGCAATTATCGAAAGGGCCTACAAATTTAGTAGCACCATCTTTTTATTCTGCCGGGCCTGCGCTTTCAGAAAATATACGGTTCGGGTGGTCTTTTACAAATCGCTAGCAACGCAGCAATTGAAAATCAAATCAATGGGAAAAATTGCAGAAATGGTGTGGCCAGCTTAGTTGCAAAATGTTCCGGAGGGCTTGGCAGCAAAGGGGTTAACACTATAAATACGTTTTGCTGTGTAAAAATCACACGCACCTAGTGCGTGCGTGTGTTTAGGTTAGTAAATCACCCCCTAAGAGTCACACCCCACCTTATCCCCTTACTTGAAATGCAACCCATCCAGTATTTGCCTAGTATATTGGGAGGAAAAATACTAAGACATGGAAGTTTTAGCATTTGTTTTTTTTCCCCTTAGGTTTTCTCTCTTTCAGATACAGAATTCCTGCAAGGACATTCTGGTTAGAAAAGATCATAGAAATTCCTTCCTCCCAAAAAAAAAAAAAAAATAAACTTACCCCTGCCCCTTTCTTCAGGTTTCTTCTAACAGGAATTCTGAGCTTCCAAGCATAGGGGTACTCCTGCCAGCCAAGTATTGTACCTCCATACAATACTTGGAACTTGATACTGCCAGGATGATAACTTGCTTTATTCACCTTACTCCTGTTAGGATGAGGCCGAGTCCTTAAACATCGGACAATATAGGGACATCAAGATTCCCCCTATAATCATGCTGAAACCTAATGGAGAGCTCTCTCTCCCTTTCTGAACTCACTGCCTCTAAGGCCTCTCAAACAGAATTAAGCTGGACATTGCTAAAGCTGTGTCACATACCACTCTGTGGCACAAAAGCTTGGCAAACAAGACAGAAGTAGTGGTTAAAGCCCAGGAAATGAGACAGGTTTGTCTCAAACTCTATCACCTTAAAGTTTAATAAGGGAAACTTAATCCTTGAACTGATGCAAGCAGCAGGAGTTTCATGTGGGGGACTTTTCCCTCTCCAGATTTCCTAACTGGGTTAGGATTGTCACCTCTCCATCATCACCTTCAAGAGACTTTTTCAACCACCTCTGGCCTCTTATGAGGTGGTGGTGGGGGTATTCCATCTACTAGTAAGTGGAAGTAGGGTCACACCCCCAATATACTTTCAAAAAAGATAAATAGATTTCAGGATCCAGCTACTTAAAACCAAGAATGGGTTTTCAAACAGAGAATTAATTTTGCCACAGCCTTATGGATGCACACAATTTTTAACCTGGGCATGTTGGGTATCTATTTTAGATTTACAAAAATGTGTATTTGTGTTTTGGGGCATTTAAGGTAATTTTTCACTAAATTTGGTCCCCCAGCGACGACAGAGCTGCTAAAAAACCTCCGGGTGCAGAGACCACTCCCCCGGATCCACCGACTGAGGCAAGCGGCCTGCCAATTGTCCACTCCCGGGATGTAGATCGCCGAGAGAGCCAGAACTCGATGTTCTGCCCAGGACAGAATCCCGAACACCTCTCGACCCAGGCCACGCTTCTCGTGCCGCCCTGGTGGTTGATGTATGCCACCGCGGTGGCGTCGTCCGACTGGACCCGGACCTCCAGACCCAGGAGCCGGGCCGACCAATAAAGAAGAGATAGGCGAATTGCAAGAAAAGACTTCCCCCGCATCCAAGACGGGGGATGGAAGCCACCACCACTAGGCTTCCGGCGCTGTTCCTTCTTGCGCGCCTGGGGGAGGAAAGTACTCTTACCCCCCCGTCAGATCCTCAATGATCTCATCCAAGGTGGAACCAAACAGACGGTCCCCAGTTCCTGAAGAGCCTACTTGGAAGCCTGGTCTGCCGACCAGCACTGAAGCCAGAGCAAACGGCGAAGCGTCACCGCTGACATCGACACCCTGGACACCAAGGGCGCCGCATCCAAGGCCGAATCACAGACATAACGCAGGCCCAGCACCAACTGGTCCGCCAATTCCACAAAGGCGGGGGAGACGTTCTCCTCCGCAAGACCCCGATGTAACATTTTAGCCCACTCAGTTAGAGTCGAGAGACCAAAGCCGAAGCCAAGACCAGACGCATGAGAGCGCCGGAGACAGAGTAAAGGGACCGCTAAAGCGCCTCAGCTTCCTATCGGAGGGATCCGTAAAGAACGGAGAATACTCCACCGGGATAACCATGGCCTTGTTTAAATGAGATGACAATGCGGTACCACCCACCCCCCCTGAAGAACCGGAGGGAAGCACGGATGATTGGCAAAACAGCGCAGGCGTACAGGACGCGCAAAGAGGGGATCTAGAGGGGCCTGCAGGCGCAGCTTCAGGATCTATGATCTGTTGCCTGTGTCCTTCAATGAACGGGAGAGAAATGTGGATTATAAGATGGGTACAAAAAAATTAAAATAATGCTTCGGTCACTAAGGGGTTTTATGTATATTTTTCTGCACTGTTTCTTTATTAAAAGATGATCTTAAAAATCGTTAAGCTTATCCCTATGCTCTAATTAGGAGCTTAAAGTATCCTTGCCTTTGTGAAGAGTGCTACTGTATAGTGAGACCTGTCATATTCCTGTCCGAGAGAACAGTAGTATCATAGGCTTTGTTTAAGTGTTTTGAATTGTCACAGCATTTGCAGGGAACAATCTGGGAACATGGTGGCAACAATCGTTTGGTGTGTAACTGTGGAGTTAACCAACCCTAGTGATGATTGCTCTCAGTCTGCTTGCCTGAGATTGTTGTCCCGCGAGCTGGGAAATCTCTGTGCAGGGTGAGGCTGAGAGTGGTATTGCCACGTCCTTGTGACGGCTCACTCGGTTCAGAACTGTGTATAGTCACCTGTGATTGACGCACATTGGGTTCGGACTGCGCCCATGAGTCACAATGGAGATATCTCAACTGGGTTCCTACACCTGGTAGCTAAAAGAAAATTTTGAGATTTGGACTTGACCAGCTGGTGCCAAGCCTGAAAATGTTTGTCTTTCAGTCCACAGCTGGGCTACCCATTAAAGCAACAGTGAGGGAAAATAATCTATATCACAAAATATTCGGTGTCCAAGCAGAGGTTTGAGCACGTTTGGGTGCTTTGAAAGGGATGGATGTGTGCTAGTGTAGTGTACATTTAGACATACTGACCTGACCAATCTGTGGTGGCAGAGAGTGTAAGATTTTGTTTATACAGGGAAAATAAAACATTTGTGTTTGAAGTTTTCTCCACACTGTCCAGAAGAAATGTGGACAGAATATGATTATGAAGTGCGTGCGTGATGGAGGTGGTAAGAGAGGAGGTTCATTTGAAGTTATTACTGTGCCAAAATTGGAGTGTGAATTACATTTCTGAACTTTAGACAATATTTATATTTGCATATGAACTTTCCAAGTTCAGCATTACATTTATAAATAGACAAGGGACTCTTTAAAAAGGTACTACACGGTCAAAGCAGGTTAAAATGACACTAAACTTAGGAGTTATATCTTAAAAATGCATTCAAGTACCTCGCCTTTATTAACAAAAATGTAGCTCATTTGTAGAGGTGCACCGAAATGAACATTTCAAAACCGTAATTATAAAAAAATGTCAGGCCGAAACCGAAAATGTTTATTTTAACTTTTTTCTAATTTTTCAAATATTTTATTTATGAACTTGTTAGTTTTTTATATTTGTTATTACTTATTGATTACATTTTTACTTTACTTTTAGGGGCTTTGGAGAAATAGGGGTCTAAACAGACCCCTGATATTTTCTTTTTCAAATAGAAAAATAGATTGAGGACACTCAGAGTACTCACTCTTTTTCTGTATCCCCGTTATAAATAAACAGGAATCCTATACGAGTGTTCCAGTTCATTCATAACATGAGAACATTGTGTATTTACTATAACCACAATCATGAATGAACAGGAGGTGATGTAGATCACTTCCCATTCATTTATAATTGAGGATATAGTAAACATACTATGTCCTCAATTATGTACAAATCACTGATCGCTGAGTGTTTGTACTCGCTCTGATTCCTGAAACGCTGTCACAGGAGGCTGAGCGAGAGGAAATTAGCCTGCTGTGACAGCGCTGGCTGTTTCCGTCCACACATCGCTCTGCCGATCTGTGATAGGAGGCTGAGCTGTGTGGAGAAGAGATGCCGGCCGCTCACAGAGCTCTCCTCCCGCAGCGCCTGTGACCGTTTCTCTCCTCCCCGCTGGGACACAGAGCAGTGCCCAGTGTGGAGGAGAGAAAGCAGGGATGCACCGCTGTATAGGACAGAAAATGGCACTTTCGGCATTGTGCCAAAAGTGCAATTTTCGGCCGATATGTTTCGGCGGCCAATATATCGGTGCATCCCTACTTATTTGTGTATTACTTAGCTGTAGATCCTCAAATCATCTCTGAATTCCTGCTGATACGGTTTTCTTTCAGGAGGGTGGCAACTTTTTTTCCCCCATGGTCCACGAGTGTTTTGTAAAGTAGCCCCGCTCCAAGCTTGATCCCATGATAAGACTACAATCTCAATACAAACTGGAGTGAGCTTGGAGCGGTGGCTGCTTTACAAACACACACACAGGGACCATGGGGAACAAAAGGTAGCCAGAAGGAAGGACAGTGTAAGCAGGAATTTAGAGATGATTTGAAGATCTACACCCGAGTGATGTACAAATAAGCTACATTTGTAATAGTTAGGCATTTTTATGATTAATCTCCCGAGTTTAGTGTCACTTTATAAATACAAAATATAAAACATGGGGTTTAATGAGGTGCATACCCATTGCATAAATTGGTAAAAAAAACCATTTTATTTTCACATATACAGATTTGAAAACATGTTACTAATATTCAGATTAAACCGCTAATGGAATCCACTCCCCATCTTTCCTTGTTATGCAGCCATAGTACATACAAATACCATTTGGACAACCATATGTATTATCAGTATTGTGTCTGTTACTTCTCTCTTATTTCACTAGGTTTTGTAGTACCGATACGTTTCGAATCTGTGCTTCCTCTGGGGACCTAGGGAGGCTAATCCAACATAAATCCATAATTGCTTACTATTTCAAGACTTTTTATTTTCTTCATTTTTCAAAGCATTTTTGTATTGCCTAACACGATGTGTTAGGGGCAAATAGAGCTCATACTTGTAGAGGAAGGGCATATTCTCACCTACCTTCCCCACCTCCTCCAACCAAATCACGGCGGGGACATCAGGATCAAGGAGGATGGAGAGCTCAGTTGGCCTGTACTATTCTTATGTTTCTATAGTGCTTTTCTTTCCACTCCTTTCAAAAAGAGGAGCATATATAAATATATACATATTGATATACAATTAAAAAACTAAAATAGATACAAAGCCCTACTCCATTAATTAAATAGCTACTTGGGCTAGTCTTTTTAGGTTATTAAATCCAAAGGGGTATATCTAAAGACAAATTCAATAAACATCCCCCCACCCACAACAAAGCACTATATAAACATAAGAATAGTACAGGCCAACTGAGCCCCCCGTTCTCTTTGATCCCGATGTCCACGCCGTGATTTGGATGGAGGGAGGGTAGGCGAGAATATGCCCTTCCTCTACAAGTAAGATCTCTATCTGCCACTGACACATTGTGTTAGGTAAGTGGCAGAACACCGTTGTTTGCAAATACCATATGCTCAATTCAAAAATGCTTTGAAAAAGAAAAGGAAAAACTCTTGAAATAGTAAGTAATTATGCATTCATGTTAGATTAGAATCCCTAGGTCCCCAGAGGAAGCACAAATGCGAAACGCATCGGGTTGACAAAACCTTGAAACGCAAGCCTAGTGAAATATCATTGGACTGACTGAATAGTAAAGAGAAATAACAAAGACACAATACGGATAATAAATAGGGTTGTCTGAAAGGTATTTGTATGTACTATGGCTGCATAACAAGGAAAGATGGCTGTCAGTGATTTTGAGCAGGCACGCTACCCTTTTTTTTTAGTTCCTACTAGGCTTTACTAGCAGCTGGTGATGTCAGGGTTGGGAGGGGGAGAAGATGCAGCTGACAGGCGCAAAGAGCCATTGACACCCCTGGAAGTGTCAGAGGTTGTGGAAATTAGAGTTTAATTAAAAACACATACAAATGAAATGGAAGAAGAAAGGCTGCTACAGTACATACAGTAACAGGGTATGTTTATTCAGATATCTACAGAGTGGTAACAGTGTCATATCAGGAGCAATTGGGTCTCTCAACCTAATAATGGGGATGCGCCGGAACATATTGGTCAAAAATGGCACTTTTGGCAAAATGCAGAAAGTGCAATTTTCTGGCCGAAATAGCAGTGTATCCATTCTTTCTCTACTCCCCGCTGGGCGCTGCTCTGTGTCCCAGCAGAGGGGAGAGAAACTGTCACAGGAGCCTGAGCTCTGCGGGAGGAGAGCGCTGTGAGCGGCCGACGTTTCTCCTCCCCGCACCGCTCAGCCTCCTGTCACAGATCGGAAGAGCTGTGTGGGGGTGGAGACAGCCATTGCTGTCATAGGAGGCTGAGCTCTCCTCCCGCATCGCCCCAACAAGCCTCCTGTGACAGCCAATCCAGGATGGAGAGTGGCGGTGTGGGCAGAGACAGCTGTTATTGCTGTCACAGGAGGCTGAGCTCTGCTCCCGCACCGCCCCGCCTCCTGTGACAGCTGTCAGGATGAAGAGCGGGTACAAACACTCAGCGATCGCTGAGTGTTTGTAAATAATTGAGGACATAGCATGTTTACTATATCCTCAATTATGAATGAATGGGAAGTGATCTACATCCTTTGGACCCCCAATATTACCTTAAAGAGGACATGTCACTGCCAATATACCATCATATAGGGGGCTTGTAATCCCCCATGTGATAGCAATTAAACAACTTTTTTTTAAGTCCCCCTGTGAGCGTGCATTCACATAAACATGCATTGGGTACCTCAACGTACGATTGCGCTACACATGTTGGGTATCGCCGCGCATGCCAGTGAGCAATAATTCTAGTGCCAATATTTATGTGCATCACTAAACTCATGACCTGTAGTGGCTTTTAGAGAATCATCTATGAACTTTTTGGGGTAATGAATTTGGTCACCGTTTCATGGACGCACGCAATTTTTAACCTGGGCATGTTGGGTATCTATTTACTCGTGGTATTCTTTTTTGGGGCACTAAAAGTTACTCAAATGCATTTTTCACTAAATGTTTAGGTTTGATAAAAAGAGTTGCGCTAATATCGTGCAACATAAAAATTTGCACCTGCCACTATTTTATTCTACAGGGTCTTGGTTTTGTTTGGTGGTTTGTAGTAATTTTTAGGCCTACAATGTGCAAAAATTGAAGAAAAAAAAAGAGGCATTCGCAGCGAAAACGGTTAAAGGATAACTAAAAATGAAGATGCCAATTACCACTTGGTGGCTCAAGTGTGTATAGTTACTATTTGGTGTTTAGTGTACACTTTCACCAAAAAAAAAAAACCTGATGAACAACCGCTGTTATTGCCAGCTTTAGCAAGAACATTTGGCAGTCAGAATAGAGAAGCCCCATTTTTCTTTACTTAACTGAATCATAAAGATACTGCAGGCAGAAAAAAAAAAAAAATCTTAAAAAAACATTGATAAGATACAGTACATGCACATTGATAAGGCACACAAAGCTCCCCCACATACCAGGAGTAAGTACAGGAGGCAGACAGTCATGCAGAAACGCCTTGGCCTTCTGATCTACAGCTGCATCAACTGGAGTATACTCAGTCAGTTTCTTCATCAGTGAGTGAGCCTTCTCTATAAATGTGCTTCTGCGTGGATCCTCCTTGAAGGTAACATAACAGATATAACTGTGTTGGTACAACATACCAGAATACAGCCCAACTTAATAAGCAGGACATCTCATAATAGCAGTTACAAAATGGCTCCTTAACATTAGGTAGTCCCACCAAAACTATTTGAACAAGGTCTGACTGTATAGGTAGGTAAAGAATCCAGCTTCATTTAACTTAAATATGTAAAATTTGGTGGCGAGTAGTTCCTAAAATTTTTTTCCTCTCTCCCCTAGCAATTTTGTTTCTCTATGTACAATGTATGGTGCATGTGTTGTGCAGTGTATGCACTCAGCCCATTCACGGCATCTCAAATTCCTGTGCGCAACCGCAGAAGATACACCATCAGTGACCACCCAAAGGTCGAAGAGAATGCTTGGGAACCCGGAAGTCTCTGCAGTGGAGGACAGAGCAGGGGACGAAAGATCGAACCAACAGCACTGAAGGGCACACTTGTAAGGAAGGTGTGCCTAATGAGCAAGTGTGCACAGCAAACTTGTACATTAGGGCAAAAACGTAGCCTACACACAGCGGTTTACTTCCACTATAAAAAGGACTGAAATGACTACATTAGGTACAGTGTTACAATTCAGACAAACACCATATAACTGAACATATTATCATAGCCATATCTGATTGCCTCATGCACAAAATTCATTCACATGAGAGATGAACCTTAACCGCTTGGACCTTTTCACAGCTTGCATTTAAATGATTTCATTGATTTCTATAATAACCAATGGGTCGGCATCAGTAGACCTATATGATTTCCACTTAAACCCTGTACCTATTAATGTTTGCCAGCAATGCAGCAGAATCTGTGGAAATCTTAAAACACAATTGTCTGCGGCTTCTTATGGTGACTTACTATTTGCTTCTTATGGTGACTCTTTGTGAGCATTAGAGCAGTGGTTCTCAACCTTTCTAGGGCCGCGACCCCATGGTAACATTTGCCATGTTGTGTGACAGTCGGCTCTACAAGTTTAAACAGAGTCCCGGCGGCTAAAGTCGCCGGGAGTCTGTTTAAACAGCCCCGATGCTGGCGACGTACACTGTACGTCGTCAGTCACGAAGGGGTTAAAGAGCAACTTTTATTTTCACATTTAGAAGTTATTTGTCTAATGGAATCTGAGTAATAGATTATCAATTTCTTGCTGATCTGCTGAAGAAAGTACCAGATACAAAATAATTAAACCCACACAGTGAATATATGACTCAATGGTAATAGAATGCACAATCTTGCTTACCGAGTCTGCATTTTGTACACCCATGTATTCCAAGTAATCTAGAGGAAGCCCCTTTCGAAACTCAACATCCTCCTCAGCTGCAATCTGCAGGGATGCTGGCAGGAGCTAAAGATACAAAGTTAAGGTTAAAAAAAAATAAGATATTTTTCCACATTAACACTGTGAATAAAGAAACTGCAGTAAAAAAAAAAAAAAAAAAGGAAATGTGTAAAATAAATAGGAGATTCTAGGACAACACATATAAACAAGCCAACTCTGTAGCCATAAGTGCAGTTATCCAGAGCAACCAGATTTAGTACACTCTGGATAAGCAATGATTTGAAATAAAATTCTATGGATTTTAAAACACAGTTGCCCATCACTTTTGCTGTCTGCACTGTTTCACTGATTGTAACAGAGATGCTATCCTATAAATGATACACATTTTACAGATAACTATATGAACAGACATGGCAGCCAGCTGTTTAAGCTTTCCCAACACTGAATTTTAGATCTAGTCATGTGGCTAAGAGTCCCCCTTAGTGCTCTTCCAAAATGTATCCCACCTAGCTGTTGACTTTTTTGCATCACTACAGCATGCCTGAATTTAAGGCACTCAGTTCACAGAAGGAGGCATGTAAAGATATGGGCAGGCGTTATAATGCTTTAACACTATTAGGGTAATTATGTGCTTTTATGTCAGAAGCAGAAAATTAAATGTAGTATGTTATTTTTTTATCATGGAACATGCAAAATGCAACAGCCTCAGTCCATTTTGCCCAGTGTAAACTAAGAAAACGTTTTCTTACTTTTTCTAGTAGGTCAATCCAGCTATTCTTCTGGAAAGAAGATATAGTTATGTGCAAGGAGTGGACATCAGGAAGACAGTCACCCTGATGAATAAACCCTCGAGGGAAGTAAAGAAGGTCTCCAGCTTCCAAAATTGTCTCCAGAATAGGCTCTCCAATATCACAGTCCCTGAAATTAGCTGCTCAAAATTAAACACATTAACATTGTCACTTGGGTGCACCCAAAGCAAAGTGAAAGAAAAGGTGGCTGTTAAAGAAAAACTAAACTCAGGAGTTTAATCCTAAAAATGCATTCAAGCACCCTATTAACAAAAACGTAGCTTATTTGTGTATCATTTGTCTATAGATCCTCAAATCATCTCTGAATTCGTGCCGACAGTGTCCTTACTTCTAGAGGGTGGCTACTTTTATTCCCCATGGTTCCTGTGTGTGTTGTAAAGAAGCCACCAATCCAGGCTCGCTCCCATGATGGACTATAACTTCAATACAAATAAGTAAACTAAACATGAGATTGTAGTCCATTACGGGAGTGAGTTTGTAGTAGTAAGTAGTAGGTAAACGCAAGCAATTGTGGTTGGAATAATAGCTAAATAGCCTTGTTAAAGAATTACATCCAATTCCTTTATCTTTACATTATATATCAACAGTAAGGGCAGTGTTACACTGTTGTATATAGAGTTACACTGTTGTATATAGAGTTAAATGAAGTGCCATTTTGTGACATTCCAATTCTTTGTAACGTAATTCTTTGCAACGACAAGCACCACTACTCTAAGCAATGCACACCAGCGCACGTGTGTTATACAGAGCATAATGTGCACAGTCTGGTGTAAACGGGCCCTAAAGGTTAATCTACTATAGGGGGAAAAAAAAGAATTGTGATTGGGCTACAGCACTTCACACTGCTTTAGGAAGATAGAACATTCGTTGGGACAAACATACATCTGCACAACTGGCCAGCTCTCTGAAAATTTATAAATCACCAGCTACTTCTGTACAAACACAGCAATCTCCTTACCACTTGAGAACTGAGGAAGCTGTTCTGATGTATTCCTACAATCAAAAAGAGAATATAACTCTGTAACAAACAAAGTATAGGTATAAAAATAGAGATCTTAAATGGATCACTATGAGAGGTGTATTAATGCTGCAATATCCCAAATAGATTACTGCTGGACTGTTTAGAAGTTATTTAAGTGTTCACCTCCTGACCGCTTACTGCTCTCCATCTTGACTCTCTGCCTGTCACAGGAGCCTAACAGGGCAGTGCAGGAGGAGAACTCGACCTCCAGTGACAGCTGTCCCCGCCCTGCACTACCCCGTTCGGCACCAGTCTATGTCCCCTCGGATCCCCGCTGCGCAACACAGGGCATTTTCCCCAATGTATAATTTTCGGCCGTGATGTTTCGGCGGCTGAAATTTCAGTTTATTCCTACTTATAAGTTGGAGTGAACATTTTTGTATAATTGTCACTAAGTATATGCACTTAGAGTTATAATATTAGAGAGCACAGTGTTTTTTGTTTAATAAACTGTTCTCCCAGCACAATCCCTTTAAAGATAGACAATGTGTAACCTTATATTTGAAGCATTTAAAAAATATAAAACATTAAACATAACAGAATCAAGCAGGCAGTAACATTACAAATATACTTTTTTTTACACACATCAACACTAACCTAGGACTGTAGACTCGCCAGTGCTTCTTGCCTTCTAACTGAACTACAAAGGCTTCAATGTCATCATAATGTGGTGCAAAACCCTGAGTGGCAGGAGGGGTCAGATACCTAGACCAAGAAATCAGAAATGCCAAACTGTTAGTCAAGACGAATAGAGTTATATCTTTGTATACTAAACTTTTTAAGATGACATGTGAATGTCAGGTAACAATATGCAAGACAGACGAGTTGTTTTCTCCAAGAGTTCCTATGTGTACATTGGGCATAATACAGGCAGGCAAAACAATTTCACAGGAATAAAGGCTGCTATGAGGGTCCCAGATAAAACTGAACATGTATATCTTGCCCCAGATCATAATGGAACTCACTTGCAATTATTTAGTTAAAGCTTATGTGAACTCATGAAGTAACAAAACACACTATTTTACTTTTCTATTGTAACATCAACCCCTTTCCTGGTCCATCCACAGTGATATTACACTTCTAGGACACCGATTGGTATTTCCCCAGTGAGATCCCACCTCCAGCACACACACTCTTCCAGTTTCTCCTCCACAGACACCTAAGTCTGCAGTCATACACTTCCGCCACACAAGCTGCATACTGAAAACTGTTCCCATTCTCCCCATACACATTGCACACTGAGCTCAGCAACAGTTTCTCATTACTGTCCATTTTGTAGTCCAGGACTGTTTGTCTATGTGTGAGGACACAAGATGGTCTCTCACTTGTATCCCACTCCAATCACATATCATCCCACTCTCTGTGTGAAGAGTTTGGATTCCATGTTGTTGCTTGCTCTACGATTACTCAGTTTTATGAGTTATTTATTACAAGATTATGGAACAATTCATAACCACCAGTTGCGAGTCAGAAGATGAACTGCTCTTGCTGCTGTCCTAACCTTCACTCTTCTTGTGCACATAATACCTGCTGTTATACCTTTCACAATTCTCTCCTGCACATACCGCCCCCTGAAATAACTCCTATACTGCACCTCCTATAGTCATACCCTCCGCACTCATCTCCTGAACATATTTTCCTCCCATAACATCCACTGCACTATTCTTCTGCACATAAACCCCACCCCCCGCTCACACCCCTCCTGCACATACTACCCGATGTCGCACCTCCTTTACTGCCTGCTGTTATACCCTCCACACTTCTCCCTGCACACACTGCCCACTAAGACACTTCTTTAGCATTGTTATATCCCCCACCTTTCCGGTTTTGGAACGGGCACACTTTTGCTGGGTCAAAAATATTTTTGGGGAAAAACAAAGCTGGTATTACCAAGAAATTGTTTTATTCAGCGTTTACATAACAGACCTCTCGGCTCCCTTCTCAACCATCTTTCTGAGTGCATGGTTACATAAGTCTAGATGCTGGCTGCAGGATGATGTAAATTTCAACTCAATAACACCTGCTCTTGTGACAGCGAGGCTTCTTCTAGGAACTGCAATCAATTCAGTAGAGCAGAGCTGGGAAGGTGATGTCTCCATCAGTCTGAGTACTGGACTACAAGAACCTTGTGCATCAACATGACATCCTTGTAGGCCTAGTTAGGAAGTGAAAGACCCAAAGTGGGTCATAAAGCTAAAAGGAAGTAAAGGGAACTAACAGGACCAGGAGGTATGCAATTTGCATTTTAGAAAACTCTAGTCTGGCTTTTTTGTTTCACTTTTACCAGTGGAGTCCTCCTGGGTCTTCTTCCTTTGAACCCACTGGCACTCAAGAAGAGATGGATGGTGCGATCAGACACAGATGTACCTCGACCTTGGTGTTCAACTTCTTTCTCTTTGGAAGTTTTCCTTCGCTCTTCGTTCACCATTCGAACAACCCTCCTGTTCAATCTGGGCTCAATTTTACTCTTGCATCCTTGTCCAGGGAGGTTGATTACACTCCCATGGACATTAACATTCTTAATTATATTTTCAACTGTGGTCATAGGAACATCGGGCTGCTTGAAGATAGTCCTATAGCCTTTACTTATGAAATGCTTGTTTATAATCTTCTTTCTGATCTCCTCAGACAACACTCTTTGCTTTCTCTGGTCCATGTTCATTGTGGTGCACCCAATGATACCAAACAGCAGAGTCACTACTTTTCTCCATTTAAATAGGCTGGCTGGCATACCTGAACTTAAAAGAGAACTATGGGGTAAGTGTTCTCAGTATATCGCGAGCTACAGCTCGCGGTATACTGAGACCGCCGCAGCCGGGACGGATCCCGACAATGCGGTCGAGATCCACCCAGTTGCGTGACAGCTGGCTCTGCCTATCTAAAAGGCATAGCCAGCTGTACCCGCCCCCTTCCCCGTCTGTTCCTTCAATCAGCGCTGGAGGATCAGAGCGGGAAGGGGGGGAATCCCTGCATGGAGCAGTGACTGACAGTCACTGCAGGGAGATAATCGAGAAGTGAGCGACGGTATGTGTTCGTTCACTTCCCGATCTATTGAGCCGACGTGTGACAAGTTTCATTGTAACACATCGGCTCGAACTATGAGGTTGAGTGATTTTCACTCACCTCATAGTTCTCCTTTAAATGAATTGTGGGGTGCTTCTCTCCTCGTGACGCAATTTGAATTTGGCACACATGTGCGTGGCTCCGTCCGCACAGCTGCACCATCTATTCACAGAATATGAGAATGGAGAGACTACAACTTCCATCTGCCACCGCAGCAGAGGGGCTTGTAGTTCTCAATGGAGTACAAGTGCAGTGGTGAGTGGTGTCACCGCAAGTGTAGTCAATTTGTTCTTCCTCCTGTACCTTAGCAGAAACTCAGTACGGACAGGGACTAGAGACAAAAATTGCAGGAGCCAGAGCATTGCACCCATGATCCGCTGATTGTGGTTGAAATGCTTTGCAAAAAATTTAAAAAAATGCATATTTTTTTTCTATTATGAATGGGTGTGCATTTATTTTTTTTCAAAAAGGAGGACTTTACCATTAAAATCCTTTTGATTACATGCTTTGTGATCAAGCTACAATGGACACACCAACTTTAATAACTCATAAGTAGTGACTAAATCCCTCTATAGCAGAACCTGAATGAGTCATCAGAAGGGTGGCTGATTCTTCATCTGAATACGGAGTCCCAAGAGTCAATCAAACTGAGCCACAATGCAGTCTGCACAAACATAAAAAATACATACGCGTTTGCCCCAACCATGCTTCCAAAGAGCTCCTGCAGGATAGACAAGACATTCCACACTGTGACAGAGAAGGCCTGGGGATTTAATAACCTCAAAGAGCATCCATTCTGTGCAATAAAGAACATAGGATTCTTTAAATATATTATTTCAGAACTTCTAAGGTTATAAGCAGTGTCTTATTTCTATCTTTATGGATAACATGTTGGCATCTGTTTTTTTGTTTTGCTATGTTGGTCCCAGTTTAAAACATTGAAGTATTCTAGCCTATATGTAATTAGCCAACAATAATAAGGGATAAGTCAATAACATTTTAAAGAGCAACTGGACATGACCACCAAACAATATATAAGAAGCAACAAGCCATGACTACTAAAACGCATATGGTTAACAATATGGATGGACAAAATTAAGCACAAAAGTTAAAGTATAAAGTTAAAAGAATTAAAAAGAACAAAAACCTACATGAAAAAGATACAGTGCCATGCGTTGCAATAATGCAAGACACTGCTGCCACCCAGCAGGCACCAGCCACCAGCTAAAAACTGAGCATTTCAGCATGCGATGGCCATTGGCAGTTAAAGGGATTAAGCGAGTGGGGCAGCCTGCTGCAGATGGTGAATAGCAACATAAAAATTAGAGGTACTCAACAGATGACATAGTCATTCCTAATTGCCATTAAAAGCAAAAACTGGAGCAAAGCCTCAAAATAGATCGAGAGTTATCAAAAAATGCAAGATTTGAAAGTTTCCCTCCATAAAGTGAACCTGCTCTTTTTTAATGGAGGGATCAAATAACGGCAACCCTCCCCAGCTGAACATACCGACCTTACTTTCACTCCCTCACAGCTTGTTTGGCAGCACAGTGATGAGAGGAATTCTGGTGTTGCAACTTACACAGGACTTAGGAGTCACTTTTTGCTCCTAATATGACAGTGCTGGGTATGTATGCAACTAATCAAGTGTCAGCACTGCCATTTGTGAGGAAGGGCATTGAGTCACATGCTCTCCACACCAGAAGTACCAGTATTTCTCTTTACTTTCTGGTGTTGAACAGAGCCGTGAGGGTGAAGAATGAAGGCATGTATGCACTGAAACCGATGATTTTATCATGCACAGAAAATTATTTTTTCACCACCTGCTTTTGTTTACCTTGAAATAATCCCATGCAACCAGCGGCAAGGCCCTGCCAGGGGAATTGTGGGTTTCCCGTACTCCATCAGTATAACTGGTGACATCCAAGTTTACGCCAAACTGCACATTATCCTAGATTTGAAACATAAGGTTGGGAACATGAGGTAGTAATCTAGAACAAAAACTTCAGATTAGATATCAAGGCAAAAGCAATACTCCACACCTATTGAGCAACTATTAAAAAGTCTAAAAGTCAGAGGGTATTTTGAAGGAGCCAGAAAATAGTCACTCCTACAGAAGACAATAAAAAGATTTAAATCGGCCACAGGCAGAGGTCTGAATTGTGATTTGGACAGTAGTTGTGTCCGTGCCGAGGTCCGCCATTTGTGCTGCATTTACAACAGCAGCTCACTACAACAGCTGCTGGTGTGTGTTCCCAGGCAGAGTGCTGATCCCGGCGCATCGCATAGTTTATTTATTTTTTGTTAGAACTTGAATAAAATGTCACTCGTATTTCAAAAAAGCTCGACGGGCACAGCACAGTACAATTGCGGCCCACATGCATTTTTTTTTCAACACAACCGCAACGTGGAACTGAGCACGTTCATAACAAGGGAAATTGCCTTTTTTTTAAAAATAATTATATGTATAATATTAGACATTTTAATTCGTTTCATGGATTTAAAATAATGTGAATTGTAAAACTCTAGGTCCAATATATTAAAATAACAATCCTTTTAAAATAAAACACCAACATTTTTTTTTTCATTTTAGTTTATTTAACTCTTTTTTTGTTTGCATGTTTAATTTTTATTTCACTTTTTAAAATTTTGTAGTCTTTTTAATTTTAGTTTAACTTTTTAATTTATTGCTGGGAGCAATAGCCAACCTGCTATTGAATATTTCGAATTGCAGTAGCCAATAGCAGGCTGGCTATTGCACCAGCTCACTGCCTGCTGTCAATCAGCAGAGGAGGGAACTGAAGGAGAAAGTTCTCCAGCAGGTCCTCCTCTGCTGGCTGACAGCAGGCAACAGCCATATTTGCTCATTATTTATGCAGGTTCTGCTTTGCAAAGCAATACAAAGCTCATGCTTTACCGTGTACTTTTTACAATGCAAATCTATGAATCAGTCCACAAGATATAAAAAAAATGACTGGAGTCAGGCTTTAAATACACTATAATAATACACTAATAATGTTTCAAAACCAGTAAACTTAAATGGCCATTTAACAAAATAACTAATCATATGTATCATGTGACTGCACCATTTAAATGCCCCATTTGGTTAACAAATGACCATTATTTATTTGAAAAATCCTACATATTAACAGTGATAAAATCTGCTGTGCACTCACTTCTCTGAGAATGCGGTCAAATTCTGAAGTAGAAAAAAATCCATCATAATATTTGGTGTTGTGTCGTCTAATTAGAGCAGGTTTGTTCTCCCAAATGTTCCTGCAAGGAAAAAAAAAAAAAAAAAGTTAGGGATTTCAGTCAGCAAGCAAAATCCATCACATCGAGAAACTTTTTGAATTACCAACTTTAATTCAGAGAAAAAAAATAAAATCTTGCCATGATTAATCGCAGCTCCTGAACTCCCTTATTTGACCTAGGTAATGATCACATGGTATTGGTAACCTTTATCCAGGTCACATGGTGATTTCTAATATTTAGGGATGCACATATATATAGCGGCCGGCGAAAGTGCCATTTTCCTGCCGATACAGTGGCGCATCCGTGCTTTCTTTCCTCCATGCTGGGCACTGCTCTGTGTCCCAGCAGGGAGGAGAAAAACTGTGACAGCCGGCCGAGCGCTGCGTGTTTGTAGATAATTGAGGACATGGTATGTTTACTATATCCTCAATTATGAATGAATGGAAGTGATCTACATCACCTCCTGTTCATTCATGATTGTGGTTATAGTAAACACACAATGTTCTCAAGTTATGAATGAACAGGAATACTCATAGTGGATTCCTGTTCATTGATAACAGGGGATACAGAAAAAGAGATAGAGGACATTGTGTCCTCATTTCCCTTTTTAAAGTAGAAAAAGAGATTATCAGGGGTCTGTTTAGACCCTTAATATTTCTCCGAAGCCCCTAAAAGTAAAGTTAAAAAACATTTTTTTTTATAGAAAATGAATAAAAATAAAATATTAAAAAAATTTAAATAAAAAAAATGTGTGGTTTCGGCCTGACAATTTTTTTTATTTCGGTTTCGTTTTGTAAATTTCCATTTCGGTGCACCTCTACTAATATTATACAAAATGATCAGACTGAAAAGCTAAACAAAAAGGTAACTATAAATACAAGTGAACACCGTTCCATAGAATAAAATTAAACAAATTCTACCACATTCCAGATCCTACAAATTAATTGTGTATATTCTCTCCTAAAATATTCTAAAAAGGACTAAACCTTTTAAGTACCTTGTTTATTTGTACCTAAAACACCTACTTACACATAGCACACAACATTTACTATAAACAAGCTCACTATTTGGACTTCAACTGGCCATTTTAGCCGATTCCTGCTGAAATTTAAGCTGTGGCAACTCGCTTGGCTTGACAAAAGTGGATTTAAAAATCAGCTAAACCGGCTGGAAAATCTATCAGCCATACAGTGACCGTATCCTATCATTTGCAGCCACAGGCGCTCCGGATGCCTGAATACAATAATTGGCAGAAGAGAGTCCCTAAGTTATGCTGGTTAGTTTACAGTAGATGTTACATAGTTACTTGGTATTTGAGGTTGAATAAAGACACGGGTCCATCAAGATGGAGGAATTTATTAATTTTTCTCAAGAAATCTATGTGTGTATGGCTAGCCTTATACTGTCCTAATTATTTTCCCCCAATGTAACATTTGGTAAGCAAATAGTTATTCACTCTAAGTGCCCGGAACTTCATGGTGTTGGGTGATAGTAATTGCGCTCCCCTGGACATAATATTAAAATGATACACACAGAATATAATGATAAATAAACCAGTTCCTATCATTTAATTCTGTATCATTTTAATATTGTTTCTCAATAAAACATATCCTTATATTCAGCGTTATACAAAATTGTCCATTCATTCTGGGCCAGTATTAAATACTCCAATTCTTATGTTCACTATAGTGTTAAATATAGCACAAAAATTAAACCAGGGCTAAATCAAAAAAGAAACCACCTGCCAGGTGCCCAGAACTGCATGTCCTGGGCATCGGGCAATACAAATTCCGCACCCCTGGCCTAACGTACGGTTAACGAAAGAAATATTGACACTAAGCAAATCAAAAGAAAAGACTTCTCTTAAGCTGGCTATACACATAGATTTTCAGTATCTTGCTAGCCGGCCCAGCTGGCTGTATATAGCTTAAAATACCATAACAATCTAATTTGATGCAGGCATTGTTCAGGTATTTTGAGAGCCAGTGGGGCCGACTAGCAAGATACTGAAGCTTGGCCCATTGGGAGATTCCTCCACCCACACAGTTTAGTGTAGATGGAGGAATCTGTTGCACTTTTTCCATCTGATCATAGGCTGATAGAAAAAATTAAATCTATAGAAAATCTATAGGTGTATGGCCAGCCTAAGATACTATACTTCCTGCACGCACAGGTAAAACCAGTAAGCTTTAACTTTCCAGCTCGCTATCAACTTGCTGCAGTTTCTTCTGCCAACCCCTATGTTACTACAGAACACACTAGTGATATAGGGGTCGGTGGGAGAACCCACAGCATGCTGGATAGTTAAGTATTTAACTTATTCTTTTACAGGTTGCTTCTGTTCTGCTGTATACTGCCTTTTACATCTGCAATGATAGGTATATTATGTAATTTGCACAAAGGCTGACTCATTAAAACTAGAAAAGAAAAAGAAAAAAAAGGCGGCAAGCAATAAATTTAAGTTGGTGCCAATAACAAGCATTGAGGTGTCCACTCTCATTTAAAGAAAAATTAAAACTAAACGTTTACCATTTATCTTCTTATCCTTTCTTCTCTAGGTGCATTGATATCAAAATAAAATAGATCAAGCACAATTGCTCACATACAGCTGTCATACAAATACAAATTATTCTCCCTCTCTTATTGTATTCCTTATTAGCCAACTATGAAAAAATATATTTTTCTCTGCAATGGACAAAAAGATTTGGATCGTGTGCAAATATAAGTTTACATAGCATGGGTAAGGTATGATCAAAGAAAGAAAAAAGGATGGGATATTGGCTGTTACACAGAGTACAAACATAGGTATGTAAACACAATTATTTCTATATTAATTTATTTACATTCGCCTGGAGTTCTTGTTTAAGTGTATTGTATAACCATGAAATAAAGCTGTATCACAACCTGATTCCACAACAACTTTCAACATGCAGAAGCTTTTATAATGGTTATTTTAAATGAAACATAAGGAGGTCACAGTAAGGTTGATTTACCTGAAGAAGTCATTGGGCTTAATGGGAGAAATCAGCCACTTGAATAAAGTTTTAGCTCGCTCCTTGCTGTTTTGGATCTTCCCCAGATTTTTCAGTACACACTCTAGTGAAGGCCCAACATGCTGCTTGATGTTTCTTTCCAAATCCTAAACCAATGTTCAAACAAAGCTCTAATAAGCAGCTGATATATACAACAAACTTGGAATTCTAACAGTTTCCTAGGGCAAAATAGCCAATACCCTGCAGTCATTCAAAATAGACAGATGGATATGCTTACTTTATAAGCAGTGCAAGAACCACCAAACATGTGCAAGAGAAACATGGAAGCTGCCACTGCTGAACTCTACTTATGGAAACACTCTTTGCCTGGTTGTGACGCTATTCAAAAAGTTATAATACTGACCTAGAATAAGCATGAACAACAAAAGTTCCAACTTAGGAGATCAATGGCTGTTTAATGTAGCCAAATGCCGATGTGTTGCTATCGATTACTTTACAAAATAACATACCTTCAGAGAGTAAAGTCACCTGTTTAGAGATAAACTATTTAAAGCTTGTTAGTTGAAAAGAAGCTTCCATGACACTTACCTCTGAAACACATCAATAACAATGTATTCCTTTCTATGGTCAATCCAGTTAGGTTTTTTTTCTGATATAAAGTGGAGTCATGCATTCCTACCCAAGTAACAATCATATTTTTTTTTACTGATGGTGGAAAAAAAATGTGAATGAGGAAAATAAAAAGTACTGAAAATGTGCTACTACTGGCTTAGGTGTTACTTATTTGTGTATATGCACATTATAATGTGATTTAGTAACAGTTTTCCAACATGTTCATTCTCTGTTCGATTTCTGTCGAGGAGATAGGATCAGCCACAAACCTAATTCGCTCCATGTGTACCCAGCTTTATCCACACCAAACCGGTGCAGAGAGCAGCATTAAGGTCATATCACTGTGGCTCTCTGCATCAGTAGAGAATGCCCAGCCGGGAAAAATTGTGAAGGGCACCATGCAGTGTCACACAATCAGCCAGAAGGCTTCAGAAAAGTATTAAAATGTAAATAGCAAAAACACAGCCATTGGAGGTCACGGGGGTGGAGAGCGGGATGAGTTGGGCTTTAACCCCTTCATGACCAGTGACGTACAGCGTACGTCACTGGCACTGGGCCCGTATAAGCAGACTAGCCACCGGGATTCTATTTACATTTGTAAAGCCGACTGTCGGCTTTACAGTAGAAGCGATTCTGGTGGTTCAGCAATCGCCAGATCGCTTTTACGGACCGGTAGACCTCTGTTCACCAATCTCCTCCCCTCTCTATGGGACTGATGCAGATTACATCACTTCTGGGCCCATACCAGTCATTGCTGAGCTCCTGGAGCAAAGCAATAAGCTATTGAAGTGCGATCTGCAATAGCAATGCAATAGCTTATTTCAAGTATAAAAAGGTGATACTAGTGGTCTTTCGGACCCCCAGTATCAGCTTAACCACCTGCTGTCCGGCCGTTGTAATTTATTGTGTTTTGGGGCATTTTTCACTCAAATTGGGGTTTATTAAGGAGTTGCGCTAATATTGTGCAACAAACATTTACAACTGCCACCATTTTATTCTATAGGGTCTTGGCTTTCAGGAAATATGTTTGGGGGTTTTAAAAAACTTCAACTTAATTATAACATGTAAACAAAAAATGAAAAAAAGGCTTCACTCATGAAGGGTTTAAGGAGCATCCAATAATATTTACAAATATGCAAATAGCATTATCAGTTCTGAATGACCAGCTGAAGAGACTACATTTAACCAGCTGGCTACATTTTACACTCCCAATACTTCTAAGTCCAACATGGGTGACAACCATGGCTCCTTCCACAAATACACTGAAGGGTTGAGCGCAGGTACCCAAAGGCAGGAAGTGTTTGTCACAGTATTACCTGCTGAAAAAAGGGAATGAGCTACAAAAAAAAAAAAAACTAAAATGAAGCCAGTACAGCTAAGGACTGGTAAACTGCAATATATTACATTTTTGTTTTTGGGTTTAGGTTTAATTGAAAGAGAAAACATGGCAAAAAAAAGCATAGACACAAAATGATCATTCTACATCATCAGGCTTTCTCCAAAGCAGAAATTTCAGAGCAGATGGGTGTTTACAGATGACCTTGCGGTCCAAACACATCTGCAAAAATACTGCTCAAAGTAGACCGGAAGGACAACCATTTACTGCAGCCCTCCACTGATCTGGACTGTATGGCAGAGTGGCTAGACGGAAGCTTCTCCTCAATGCAAAACACATGAAAGCCCGCTTGGAGTTTGCAAAAAAAGCACCTGAAGGACTCTCTGACTGTAATCACACCACCTGTCTCAGCTGTCAGAAAGTGCACAGAAGATCTGTTCTGTGTTGGAGGGCAGGTTCCATAAGGAGAACCTGTCACCTCCAAACTATCACATAGGGGATTCTAAGCCCCTGTGTGATAGGAATAAAATGACGTGGAAAAAAAAAAAATTAAAAAAAAAAAAGTGAAGTAAAAATAATAAAATATATGTAAAAAGTTTTCTAAAACCAACCCTGCCACCCTCCACTATTTGCATGTAAATAAACGCACACATAGGACAGTGTGTGTGTGTGTCTGTTGAGTGCTGCCGCCATTCCACTGTGTGCCATATTGTGGTAACCAGAAAGCAGCGCTCTCTAACACGCACAATGTGCATTAACGTTAATTTGGGAAAATTTATTACCCGCTCAAATGTGGCCCTGTTTCCCTCCCCACCCCGCTATACTTTAGAAAGGAACAGTCCTTTCCCTAGAAATCTGTACCCCGTACTGCTGTCCAGTGCAGCCCTGCGCTATGCATTTTGAATTTCGCTCGCAAGTTGCGAGCACTCGTTGGTTAGCTTGGTCATGTGACCATGCTGACCAATGAGATGCACTATTTAGTACGTGTCTGTGAAGGTTCTCATTTCTCCAGGTCAAGGTATATCTGTAAAAAATAAGTCAAGACAACTGGACTTGCTGTATAATGTAGTGGGACAAGTAGATTAGACAGTTGAGAGAGTTCCTTGAAAAAGTCCATTGGACGAAACGCGCAGGGGGAAGAGCTACACGCTTACGCTAGTGTATGGAGTGGAGGAGACAGAGCTGAGCTCATACAAGCCGATTTTATAGTTTTACAGCGCTGAAAAACTCTTTTAAATGTAAGTGTTCTGATTTTTATGAATATACGATCATCTAGCAGTTTTACACTACACTTCCCTGGTGTCGGGGGGAAGCTGGAGAGGAGATGGACCTCCGTTCGTCAATCCCCTCCCCATTCTATGGGATTGGGAGCTATGCAGATTGCATCACTTCCGGACCCATAGCTGTCATGCTGGGCTCCTGAAGCCCAGCTATAAGCTATTGAAGTGCGATCTGCACTTCAATAGCTTATTTAGAGTGTAAAGGTGACACTGGGGGTCTTTTGGACCCCCAGCATCAGCTTAAAGAGTACCTCTCACCACCATTTGCTATCACACGGGGGATTGTAAGCCCCCTATGTGATAGCAATCAAAGTAAAAAAAATAAATACGTTTTTATAATTAACATTAAATAAAATAAATCCCAAAATTATAAAAAAAATAAAGCCCCCGTACGCTTCACGTAAACACGTATCAGGTGTGGCTACGGATGAAAACGACGAACGCGCACACTGGAGCGAGAGCAATAATTCTAGGGCCAGTATTTTTGGATATCTCTAAACTGATGACCTGTAGGGCCTTTTAAAGCGTCCTCTATGGACTTTTTGGAGTACTGAATTTTGTCGCAGTTTCACGGACGCACACAATTTTTAACCTGGGCATGCTGGGTATCTATTTACTCGGTGTAACCTCATCTTTATATTGTATTTTTTTTAAATGGGTATTTTATTGTGTTTTGGGGCAGTTAAGTAAATTTTTTACTAAATTGTGGGGTTTGATAAGGAGTTGCGCTAATATCGTGCAACATTGCGTGCAAATTTGCAACTGCCACCATTTTATTCTATAGGGTCTAGGCTTTCAGAAAATATATAATGTTTGGGGGTTTTAAGTAATTTTCAGGCCTAAAATGTGGAATATAACATGGGTGCAAAAAATGAAAAAAAGGCCTCAGTCATGAAAGTGTTAATCTTCTGGTGACAAATATTTTAGATTTTCCCATACATTCAGTCCTGGCCAAAACAAAAATCAGTTTACTTTTCTACAAGGTAGATAATTAGCAAAGCAGAAAATTGCCCAGCGTTCAGCTAGTGCAAGGTTTATAAATACAAAACCACAAAAAGAAATAATGTAAACAATTCACAACAGATATACACAGGCTTGTAGTACATCAAACCAAAGCGCACTGCATGTCACCCATTTGTAAGGGTGGGTCCCCAGCTAACCACTGGCACCGTGTAAATCCAAATATAAGAATAAGTCAGCAGGCCAACTTTCTGATTGGCTGGGAAGCCAGCTCTATGCTCTCTCATCATCTCATGACGAGGGAGCATGGAGCCGGCTTCCCGGCCAATCAGGAAGCAGGGCGCCGCGTCATTACACGGCGCCCGGCTTCCATGATTGGCCAGCAAGCAGGCTCCATGCTTTCTCGTCACATAGTGACGAGAAGCTTGGGACAGCTTCCTTGTTAATCGGGAAGCCAGGTGGCGAGTCATTACACGCCGCCTGGCTTCCTGAATGGGACTTCCGGAACTCGGTGTTTGGTATCGTCGAGTACCGGAAAAAATATATCGTTCTCGCACTTGGTACCAAAATACCGGTATCGGTGCATCCCTAATAAATATGTATGCAAAGTAGTGTGCATTCTGGCACATCACTGCTCAAACACTTACTAGTGCATACGCCATTTGGTAATAAAAGAACGCACAAATAATGCCCACTACACAAGAAATTTGTCCACAATCATCCTACTAAAGTAGGCACAGTAGGCTGTGTTACAAAGAAAATAACATAAAATAGTGACATTTCAGTAGGATGGTTTAGTACAAATGGTTCCCAATTTCTTCATAAAAGGTGGAAATCCATTTTAAGCTGTAATGAAACATACATGTCAGTTCCAAAGTTCCCAGTACCTTATTTGTTGCCTCGGTACACAACTTTTTGTCTTTCTTGTTCGAGCTGTTTGTGTTACTAGGTGCATGCACACTCCTGTCGTCATCTACTCCATTTGTGTATTTCAAACATGCTTTAGGATCAGGCTTGACAGGCTTTCTTTTTTTCTTTGACAGTCTGTATTCTGTCTTGGAGATAATATGACGCTTCTTTTTTAAGCCAGTCTAAAAGACAACAGAAAAAAAGGTCTATATCGGTTCTATATCCACAACATAAAAAAAAAGCAAAAAGAATAAAAGGTAATTTATCACTTAGAAAATCAGATTATTATTCTTCAAGCAGTATGCTTTTTCTACCATATTAGAATGCTTTAAACTAGGGTTGCACAGATACCAAGTACAGTACTCGGTACAAGTACGAGTACATGTACCGATACTTTTGAGCTCCAAGACTACACTAGAGAAAAATTCAAAAGTAAGGAGTCAGCTGTCATTTGTAAGGAGCACATGGAGCTCCTGGGATTTGTACATCTCTGTTTTAATGTACGATTTTGTTTTTATAAATATAAATAAAGGGATGCACAGATACCAGTTTGGCGAGTACGAGTACTGGTACTTGCCGAGTACTTACAAGTACGAGTACTGATACATTTTTGTTTATTGTCATGTGACAGTTTTTCTAAAACAATACAGACTAATGATTTCAGGACAGTAGGGGAGTGCCAGAGCCAGGTCCCAGCTGCAACCGCTGCAACCCTGGTAGTTCTCATGAAAATGCCAAGTATCTGCACTGGTACTCAAAAAGTATCTGTGCATCCCTACTTTAAACTTAAAAGCATGAAATGAGCCACGCAGTTGAAGCCATCCATACGCAAAAAGCTCAGATCATCTGATCAACCATTAAGCACTAGCAACTCACTTTTACCATTTTGCAAACAGAGCAGCAACTCCACTGAAGATTGAAGTTTAATTCCCTGTGGATAAGCCCTTGTTTCAAATAAATGTGTTGTTTAAAAGTGATTGGTTTGATTTTTAACACTGGTATCAGACACTTCTGCATGTGTCGGGCTGTTCACTCTTCAGCTGCTTGATTCCTCCAGCCATTGACCACAGCCTATGCATATGTAAGCAAACACCACAGAGGCTGTGTATAAGGCACCTAGGTGTATTGGGAACGCATGCATTTTTCCCCACGTTTGACATGCATACCCATTGACATCAAACGCACGAAAAGTAGCTCATGTTGCAAAATCTACAGCATGCTTTCTGTGTTTTTTCCACGTTTATGTGCGTTTTAACACGCGCCAACATGCAAGGGGGAATCACATTTTCTTGGCCACGTTTGGTGTGCCATTAACAAGTAATGACACTGCAAGTACATTGCTCATTCTTTAATGCATTCCACGAACGCGCATCAAGGCGTGCATTTTTGTGCATGTTTGCCTAGATGTGAACATGGACTTAACGAGCACTGACTTAGTGTTTTTTGTTTATATATGCTGAGGTAGAACTCTTCTGAAAACAGCCTCAGTGATGTCGCTTTACATACACTGTGGCTGTATTCGGGAGCTGCTTTCCTGCACACAGATTTAGTGTATGGATGCGTGTAGGAGAGTGGCTCCTTATCATACTCTAAGCTTATGTAAAAAAAAAAACACAACATTGCTGGGGTTATGTGCAGTGCAGCAGCTTCCAAACAGCTTCAGAACAATTTCTTTAGATGTGCTGGGACCATATTGTTTTGCCATCCCAAAACTCTGCAATTTGTAAGTAAAATAATGGCCCAGTGGGGCAAAAGTAATTATTTTAATTTAAAAAAAATAGTATTCTTTCTGGTGACCCGGTCTCCTTAAAAGGAGCATGATGGGGTAAAAATAAGGGAGATGCAGCCGTTGACTTGTATTTGATGCTGTAAAATTTAGAAGTGCCATTCCTATGCTTGGTTTAGCATTTGAGAGTTGCTGAGGAGCAACAAGCATGCAACAAGTCCAGGTAAAACTTTCAATCTGCATACTTGCCCCAGGTTAGACTTTTTAAAAGGCACGTGAAGCCTAGTGAAGGGAAATCTCCCCAAAAGGACAACAAAAATAAACAGAGATTTCAGCCCTTCCCTGCTCTATCCAGGAAATAATTGGGACATGCATGATAATTCCATCTATTTTTTTTGGTGTGATTATTTTCATGCACCAATGCTCTGGACGACTTTGTATCTTAAAAAAAAAAAAAAAATGTATTGCCATACCCTGTGAACCTAAATCAGCCAATAGGGGGCTAATGACTGCTATCGGCTGCCAGGCCAGAGCTGCGCCGCAGACGAGAAGGACCCTGACAATATTGACAGTCACCTAAATGACAGATGGCTCTGCCATTCTTTGCATGGTTGAGAGCAAGAGCAATCCGCACCTGCCCCGTTTGTAGTCCCAGCCAGAGCTGAAGGAGCAGAGAATGGAAGGGTGAAACCCTGCAGGGGGTAATGACTGATTGCATGTATGTATGGGAGCAGGGACCAAGAGCTGATTGATCAGCGGTTACTTAATTGGTCAGCTCCCGGTCTTAGAGCCTGAACCAGCTCCAAGCATTGGGGAAGAGTATGTTTTACTCTCCTTTATTGCTTTCCTTATTCACCTGGGCACACAGAGTAATGATGGCGTGGGGTTGCACGGATTTTTATGCACATCCCAATGTTTACATCCATACAGGGACAGATGCACAGCTCTGAACACAGTCTGTCTGTGTAGAGGGATGGATGTAAACACTAGAAGTGGGAAAAGCCACTTGTTAAACTCAATGACAGACTACGGCTGCACAGAACACCTATGCCTCCCCTTGCTACATTAGCGAGAATGAAGACTAATAGTCACATTTTAGCACACCAAACGCTTTGCCCTTTAAGGAGGATATACGGCCATGTGTGTAATACATATATTATTATTTTTATTTTTCATCTACAACTCAACACATATGCAGTGATAATGCCTAGCTAAATAAAACAATTCACAATATATCCAATATTGCACAAGTGGTTGCACTGTATTACTGTAATCTTCCACACAGAGCAAAGTTTCACAATGGATTACTACACAGAAATGCACAAAACACACCAAGACTCAATTCACATTTTTTTATGTGTTGTGCAGATTAAATATGGAATTAGGGCCCGTGCACACAGCTTTGCGGTTTTCAAGACTGCTTTACTACCCATAGTGGGTCAATGAGAATGCAAAAGCAGCTCAACATACTCCAGAATCCACGGTCGAAGTTGAACTCTGGGATAAGCAAATATTGCTTAAATACAAGAATGTGTATTCTTACTTGAATCTTGGTGTGTTTTGTGTATTTCTCTGTAGTAATCCAGTGTGAAACATTACTCCATGCGGAAGATTACAGTAATACAGACCAACCACTGTTGCGCTCTCTCCTTGCGCACAGTGACTGGTCTCTGGTCTCATCTTCACCCACCCCTCCTGTAATTTTTCTGCAGGTAGCCTGTAGTTGATGGGCTTAGCTCTGCTCTCTGCCAAGGCTATGCATGTGCAGCACAGTACTAATATCACCACTACTTTGACAAAGTAATATCTGGGGTTGCAAGGGCATTTCATACCCACAAAGTGGATTTATATTGTTTGTGAATATCGAGGAATATATTTCAATGAAAGTTTTTATGCCAGCTTTAAGGATCTCAGAATCATCCCAAACCGTATCAAGAACAAATTGAACACACCTAAAAGTAATCTGCTGTTTGCCATCTACACATGCGCTTACAAGAAAAGCCAAAAACAATCCTCTGATTACACTAAACATAAATCGTATTAATCCCAATAGACTACTAGTCTGCACCTCTTATCTAATCATCCCCACAGTCCCCAAAAATGATTTGTAATATCCGTTTATTCCTGTTCACATCTGGCTCTCCTTATAAGCAACTACTAACCTGGGTTTTAGTGTCTTGGAATTGCTGAAAGGCAGAAAACGCAGACACACGTGGAGCAGCCATGGTGATAACATGTAGCTGCCAACCAGCAGAAGGACCTTGCTGACGTCACACTCATGAGACCAGGCAGCAGCCGTGCAATGGGACCGCCCACTGAACTGTGGGTAGGATCAATTCGAGAGGCTAGAGCTGTAAGGGATAGAAACTAAAATAGGAAAGCGAAACATAGTGTAGTGGGGAGGAGCAGCACATAAATGGTATTGGGGTACTGTGGCAGGTGTATGTGGGTGCTGTGTGAGATGTGCTGGGTATAGTGGATGGACTGCGAGAGCGGAGGAGTTAGATGAGATGTGTTGGGTAAAATATATCAGATACAGTGGGGTAGAACATGAAGTGTACCATAAGCAGCGGGGTGCGGTGTGAGATGTGCTGGAAGTAGCAGGATGCAGTGGGAAATTTGCTGGGAGAAGCGGTGTGCAGTGATATGTGCTGGGAGAAGCGGTGTGCAGTGGGAGATTTGCTGGAGTTGTAGTGTGCAGTGGGATTTGTAACAACTTTATGAGCAATGTCTATTACCTTTTTTGGATCTCAGCTGTTGCTGGGTATAGTGGATGGACTGCGAGAGCGGAGGAGTTAGATGAGATGTGTTGGGTAAAATATATCAGATACAGTGGGGTAGAACATGAAGTGTACCATAAGCAGCGGGGTGCGGTGTGAGATGTGCTGGAAGTAGCAGGATGCAGTGGGAAATTTGCTGGGAGAAGCGGTGTGCAGTGATATGTGCTGGGAGAAGCGGTGTGCAGTGATATGTGCTGGGAGAAGCGGTGTGCAGTGGGAGATTTGCTGGAGTTGTAGTGTGCAGTGGGATTTGTAACAACTTTATGAGCAATGTCTATTACCTTTTTTGGATCTCAGCTGCAGGTCAGAACACTCTTCTCATGTGGCAGTAGAGGATGCCTCTCATTATGATGAAAATATAACTTTAACTTATTCGTCTTTCAAATAAGTGTTATAACTTCTTTTCGTGCATCAGGCAAAATTAAATTGTAACTTAGAATGTCCGTAACGACCGGCAAATTAGAATGTATTACTTCATACACCCTGTTGGCCTTATACAATACAGTTTCCTAGGATCCTGTTTTTCTCTTCACAGGAATAAAGCAGAGTATATGGCTTATTTTTATGGCTGTCTATGTAATCGTTTTAAGATCACATAAAGCATAAGTCAGTAGTGTAAAGCCTGAATACTTGCAGTTTGCAGCAGAGGTTGATTGACTATGAATGGATCAAGAGAACTCCAATCCTGGGTACAGACAAGGTAAGTATATGTAGTGCGGCTTGAAGCTTTTCCCACACACTGTAATCGAGGATCTACTTCTTTAAGGTTTTGGAAGGCTGCAGCAGCTGAAGTGAGGGGAAGAATGGCTGTCAGCTCCGTGCTGACAGAGAAGTCCAGGAGCCAGCCAGTGGTGTTAGAGCGGTGAATTGCTCAGTCTTGCAACAATAACAGGACGCCGAGCCATTCAAAACCCACAATTTAAATCTGACAGCCAGCGGAAGGAGGGGAAGCTTGACGCAGCGGACGTTCGCTATAGTCCGCCACAGGGTATGATCCTCAGGATTAGTGGGGTGTAGTAATGTGCGGTGTGAAATGTGCTAAGAGTAGAGGGGTGTAGTGTGAGTTGTGCTGGGTATAGTGGATGGACTGTGAGAATGGAGACTAGATGTGATCTGCTGGGTGCAGTGCGAAATATGCTAGGTACAGTGGGGTGCAAAATTAAGTTTACCATAAACAGTGGAAACGGGATAAAGTGTGTGGGGTGTAGCGTGTGAGATGCTAGGTATGATGGGGTGCAGTGAAATTTGCTGGGAGTAGCAGGGTGCAGTGCGAGTTTTGCTGGGAGTAGGAGGATGCAGTACGTGATTTGCTAGGAGTAGCGGAATACAGTGAGATTTGCTGGGATTAGCGGCGTGCAGTGTGAGATTTGCTGGGATTAGCGGATTGCAGTGAGGTTTACTTGGTTTAGCGGGGTGCGGTGTGAGATTTGTTCAAAGAAGTTGTGTGCAGGGTGAAATCTGCTGGGACTAGCAGGATGCAGTGCGAGATTTGCTGGGAGTAGCAGAATGCAGTGTCAGATTTGCTGGGATTAGTGGTGTGCAGTGTGAAATGTGCTGGGAGTAGCGGGGTGCAATGAGATTTGCTGGGAGTAGCATGGTGCAGTGCGAGTTGTGCTGGGATTAGTGGGGTGCAGTGTGAGATTTGGTGGGATTAGTGGGGTGTAGTGTGATATTTGCTGGGGTTAGCGGGGTGCAGTGTGAGATTTGTTGCAAGTAATTGTGTGCAGGGTGAAATTTGCTGGGACTAGCGGAATGCAGTGTGATATTAGCTGGGATTAGTGGTGTGCAGTGTGAAATGTGCTGGGAGTAGCGGGGTGCAATGAGATTTGCTGGGAGTAGCTTGGTGCAGTGCGAGTTGTGCTAGGATTAGTGGGGTGCAGTGTCATATTTGCTGGGATTAGTGGGGTGCAGTGGGATATTTGCTGGGAGTAGCAGAATGCAGTGTGTGACCTGGGATCTTTAAGGACGCAGTGTTCACAGTTGGAAACACCACATAATGATGCTACTGGCTTCTCTCCCTGCTGTGCTACACGCAAAATGTGGAGTGGAGCACTGTTGGGGAAATATATAGACATCCTCTACTACTATGCCTTGGGTTCTGTCACACTGGGAGTAGTGGAAAATATACCAGGTGCAGTGTGGTATTTGCTGGGAGTAGCGGAATGCAGTGTGAGATTTGCTGGGAGTAGAGGGGTACAGTATAAGATGTGCTGGCAGCAGCAGTGTTTAGTGTGAGCTTTGCTGGGAGTAGCGGAATGCAGTGTGAGATTTGCTGAGAGTAGCGTAGTGCAGTGTGAGATTTGCTGGGAGTAGAGGGGTGCAGTGTGAGCTTTGCTGGGATTAGTGGGGTGTAATGTGATGTGCTGGGAGTTGCCAAATGCAGTATGAGATTTGCTGGGGGTAGCTGGGTGCAGTTGGAGATGAGCTGGGAGTAGCCTGTAGCAGTGTGAGGTTTGCTGGGATTGCCAGGGTGCAGTGTGTGATATGCTGGGATTAGTGGGGTATAGTGTGAGATGTGCTGGGAGTAGCGGGGTGCGGTGGGAGATGTGCTGGGAGTAGCGGGGTGCGGTGGGAGATGTGCTGGGAGTAGCAGTGTGAGGTTTGCTGGGATTGCCCACTAGTTGAACTTGTGAATCTCCATACAGGGTACACAGATATTACCCACACATAATACATCCTTACCAGTGCTTGAAGAGACTGAAAGATGCCCTGTATGCCATAACTTGAGCTCATGCATATATTCCCAGACAGAGAAGCGTGATTCGTCACTCCAGAAAACACGTCTCCACCTCTCTAGAATCCAGTGGTCCCGTGCTTTACACCACTGCATCCGACACTTTGCATTGCACTTGATGATGTAAGGCTTGGATGCAGCTGCTCGGCTGTGGAGACCCATTCCATGAAGCTCTCTACGCACTGTTGTTGTGCCAATCTGAAGGCCACACGAAGTTTGGAGGTCTGTAGCTATTGACTCTGGAGACAGTTGGCGACTTCTGTGGACTTCAGCATGCGCTGACCCCGCTCTGTCTTTTTATGTGGCCTACCACTTTGTGGCTGAGTTGCTGTTGTTCCCAGTTGCTTCCACTTTGTTATAATACCACTAACAGGTGACCGTGGAATACTTAGTATCAAGAAAATTTAAAGGAACACCTGAATCCAATGATTTGGAGGGGTGTCCCAATACTTTTGGTAATATAGTGTATAGTTGAGGACTGATAGATTGTTTGACTTTTGATCTTACAGACCTGAATTAGTCCTATCAGAATCCATCTTACAGCAGGGCTGTTCCAATTTTTTTCTCACTGATGAATGCAGATATGTGTAGGAGTGTTGGGGTTGGGCATCAGTGTTGTAATGTACGTCGTAGGACATTACATTGTGGGATTCAAATTCAAGCTGTATAAACTGAATCTAGAATAAAGGTTTTTTTTTTGCTGTATTTCCTTATACCATGTTTTTTGCTTATATTGATATAGCTTTATTCTCTCTTCTATAATATTTTTATTTTTTTTTAAAGCCCATGGAGCGTGCTCGAAAACGAATCCTTTGTGAACAAAAAAGTGAACCGTGAAATCACAACACACAAAAACGTGCACAGGGGTGCTTGGCCCTTCAATAAAGAAGGGGCCACAATTTTCCGACCCCCCGGGGCGCAAGGCTCCTGACGGGTTGAGACGACTATGGTCCACCAACCCGAAGGCCAGTTGACCCCGATCCTCTGGGCACCTGCCGAAACAGGTCCCACATAGTACTAGGTTGGGGGGATCTCCCGAAGAGACACCCCCCCACTGGTGGGAGAAGACAGAGAACCCTATATAAGGGCACAGAATCTCCTCCCCAACGTCGGGAAAAGGCCCCGAAGGTACCTGCACCCTCAGTCATCTGGTGGGTCAAAATTTTCAATCAAAAAGTGCCAATCGGCATAGAGTGCAATAAATGAAGCTAAAGTGCCAGTGCACCACGCTGACAGGCCTTAGGGGCCGGAGTGCAAAAACATTGCCCCGGACTAGCGAGAAGGCCTGTCCAAGAGGCGTTGTGCAGAATGCAATGAGTGCCGTGTCAGTGAATCAGTGTTGGGGTCCCACACCCAAAGTAATTATCTGGGACGCCACCCCCAGGGGGCACAGCACCACGGGCTCTGCCGCCTCCCAACCCTCCAGCCAGACCAAGCGATTCTCCATTCCCATCAGAAGGTAGCACCTTCAGGGGCCCTCCCACTGTCTGGAGTCTACCTGTACCTCGGGCCTGACGCAACCAGCAGTGGACCGAACCCCATCCGACACCCACCAATTACGCCAGAGGGTACTAGGACATATCCGCCACTCCAATAGACGGCAGCATCCTTTCCCCTTCGGCAACTGATAAGAACAGATACAGCTTTTTGTTATTTTATCTAGTATACTGTGAACTTGCATCCCTGGAAAAGTCAGATTTGACTGTATGTC